GACCACATCCCTAAAGCAGCTACTCAGCTGCTCCAGTACATTCCATCATGGAGTTAATTACCAATATCACCATGGGGAATAACTACATTCAGCTGCCCAGCCACTCAATCAGGCCCAGCCAAGTTGACACACAAACATAACCATGACAAATAGCCACCAAAAAGATGAAATACCTAGGAATAAACATAATCAGAGATACAAGATTTATATAAAACACTACTGCAAGAAACTAAGAGAGACCTACATAAAGGAAGACTATACCATGCTTGGGAGGTCTGGTGGTGTAGTGCCTAAGGCATTTGACTGCTAACCAGAAGGCTGGCAGTTCCCATCCACCAGCCACTCCTCAGAAGGAAGGTTGGGCAATCTACTTCCATAGCGGTACCGCCTCAGACACCCAAGGAGGGGTTGCTATGGGTCAGATCCAGCTTGAAAGCAGTGAGTTTGGGTTTTTTTTTTTTTTTTTGTGTACCATGCTTATGGATAGGAAGACCTAATATTGGGAAAATGCCAGTACTACCCAAAGAGATCTATAGATATAATATAATCCCAATCCAGATTCCATCAATATTCTTTAAAGAAATGGAAAAAATAACCACCAAAGTTAGATGGAAAAGAGAGAGACCTTGGATAAGCAAAACACTACTAAAGAAAAACAAAGCAAGAAGGCCTCACACTCCCCAATTTCAGAACCTACTCTACAGCCACAGTAGTCAAAACAGCCTAGTACTGGTACAACAACAGACATACAGACCACTAGAACAGAATTGAGAATCTAGCAGCAACTCCATCCACCTATGGACAGCTGCTCTTCAATAGGGGGCTGAAATCCATTAAATGGGAAAGAGATAGTCTCTTCGGGTGCTTGTAAAACTAGATACCCATTTGCAGAAAACAATGACACAAGGATCCATACTTCTTACCATATACAAAAACTAACTCAAGGTGAATGAAAGACCTAAGTGTAAAATCTAAAACTATAAAGATCATCAAAGAAAAAATAGGGACAAACTTAGGAACTCTAATATATGGCATAAATACACTATCTACCAGACATAACTAAACTGCACAAACAGCAGAAGATAAACTAGACTACTAGCACCTCCTAAAAATTAAACACTTATGCATATCAAAGGAGCTCTGGTGGTGTAGTGGATAAGACATTTGGCTGCTAACCGAAAGGTCAATGCTTCAACCCCACCAGCTGCTCCATGGGAGGAACATGAGACAATCTACTTCCATGTAGCCTTGGAAACCCAGTGAAGGTCACTATGAGTCAGAATTGACTAGATGGCAGCAGGTTGGTATATTTTGTTTTGTTTTGTTGGTTATGCACAGCGAAAGAGTGAAAAGACAATATATAGGGGCATTGACATAACAGACAAGGGATTAATCTCTTAAGATTGACAGAAAACTTCAACATATCAGCAACAAAGAGATGGCCAATGCAAATACAAAATGGGCAAGAGGATATGAACAGACACTTCACCAAAGAAGACATTCAGGCAGCCGACAAACACATGAAGAAATGCTCTAATGGGATCATTACTCATTGGAGAGATGCAAATCAATACTACAGTGAGACACTATCTTACCTTGACAATAATGACACTAATCAAAAACAAATTATAACAAATGATGATGAAGTTTTGGGGAGATTGGAACTCTTATACACTGCTGATGGGAATGTAACATGGTACAATTGCTATAGAAAACAGTATGGTGCTAATCCCACTACTAGACATATGTCCTAGAGAAATAAGAACCATGACATGAATAGATACATGCACCCCCATGTTTATCACAGCATTATTCATAATAGCAAAAAGATGGAAACAACCTAAGTACCCATCAGCAGATGAATGGATAAGCAAACTGTGGCACACATGCGGTGGAATATTATGCAATGTTAAAGAATAACGACTCTGCAAAACACCTCATAACATAGGTAAACCTGGAAGACATTATGCTCAGTGAAATAATCACAGAAGAACAAATATTGTATGAGACCATTATCATGAAAAGTCAAGAAATAGTTTTCACACAGAAACATTCTTTGGTGGTTACCAGGAATAAGTGTGGGAAGAATGAAAGATCAATAACCAGAGAGTAGACATATATTAACTTAGGTAAAGGAAAAGGCAGTATACAATAAGGAGGAGGTCAGCACAACATGAACAAGGAATAGGATGACACTGAGAGGTGCACAGAAGTAAAAGGCAACAATGATAAATACTTTTACATACACAACCCTGTAATAACAGAAATAAACAATAATCTGTGAGTGCATAGGCAGCTAGATATGCAAACTGAGTAAGTGTAGGATAGTGAATGTGGGAGTACTTACGAGTATATGTAAGTTTGGCAGAGGATATTTCTATAAACATATTTGTATGTACTACAAATATATCCAGGTATATAGTACAGCATACAGGGGGCAAAGTTCTGAAAACTTCTTAGCAATAACCAAACATCAGGGAATGAGTCTCAGGATGGGGTGGGTATCAAGATCAGTTCGCATAACATAGTCCACCTACTTTGATGAGTAGCAACTAGGGTTGTAAAAGCTTGTGAATAGCCATTTAAGGTGCAACTATTTGTCTCTCTTGTCTGGAAAAAATAAGAGTGAAGAAAAGCAAAGGCACATAGAAACAATTAGTCCAAAGGATTAATGAACAATGGGAACCCCAGCCTCAATGACTCTGAGACCAGAACTAGATGATGCCCACCTACCACTGCCAATCACTCTGAAAGGGATCACAGTAGGAGGTCCTGGATAGAATGGGAGAAAAATGTGGAGTAAAACTCAAAATAATAATAAAGACCAGGCTTACTGGTCGGATGGGACTGGTAGAACACTTTAGCCACCCTTCAAGCCTGGAACTGAATTCACCCCTGTGGTTCAATTTTCAGCCACCTAATAGGCTTATAAGGAGCTCTGGTAGCATAATGCCTAAGGCATTTGACTACTAACCAAAAGACTGGTGGTTCAAACCCACCAGCCACTCCTCAGAAGGCAGATTGGGCAATCTACGTCTGTCATGATACTGCCACAGAAACTCAAGGAGGGGTCGCTGTGAGTCAGGTTTGACTTGACAGCAGTGAGTTTGGTTTTTTGGTAATAGGCTTATAAAGTGAACAGTAACACCAGGGAGGTTTGCACTCCTTAGAACAATCAATCACATGAGATCAAATGGGCATTTGCCCAGTGATAACTCTCAGAAGACAGGAAGGGATAGGAAATAAAGAGGAATGGAACAGTAAGCACAGGGAGGGAGTGGGAAAAGTGCTGTTACGTTATAGGGATTGCAATCAATGTCATAAAACAAATGTGTGAATGGAAAACCAATTTGCTCTGTAAACTTTCACCCAAACCACAATAAAAAAGATGGAGGGGGAAAAAAAAAAAACCCACCAAGTCTGTGAGCAGCCATCTAAGATGTAACTATTGGTCTCTTCCCGGCCAGAGCAAAGAAAAGTAAAGAAAATCAAAGCCTCAAGGAAACAATGAGTCCAAAGGACTAATGGCCCACGTGAACCACATCCTTCACTATCCTGAGACAGAAGAACTAGATGTTACCCAGCTACCACTACCAACTACTGTGATCACACTCACAATAGAAGGTTCTGGACAGTGAGAGAAACATGTAAAACAAAATTCAAAATCATAAAGATGACCAGACTTGGCAGTCTGAGACTGGTGGAACCCCCACGACTATCAACCTTGATACCCTTCAAACATGAAACTGAGCCCACCGCCAGGGATCACCTTTCAGTCAAACAATAGGCAGGCATAGAACAGTAACACCCATCAGGAACAATCAACCACATGAGACCAAAAGGGTATCATTTACCCAGAAACAAAGTTCAGAAGGCAGGAAAGAAGGACAAAAGAAATGGGGAATCCAGGGAGGAATGATGAGTGCTGTTAATTGAGGGGATTGAAATTGATGCCATGAAACAAAATATGTATAAATTGTTGAATGGAAAACTAATTTGCTCTGTAAACTTTCACCCAAATCACCATGTTCAAAAAAATTAGTAAAGCAAGGTAATGGAGCAGAAACTGGTGGAGCTGATCTTGAGAGACACTGTCTGATGAGGTAGCTTTTAAACAGAGACCCATATGAAGTAAAGGTGCCAGACATGTAGATATCTGGGGAAAAAGCATTCAGAGGAGGACACTTTCAGATTTTGTTAGAAAAATGTATATGGTTAATTATATATGTTAAAAAAAACTCAACTGCCGTCAAGTTGATTCAACTCATAGTGACCTCTCCTTGGATTTCCAAGGAGGTATCTCTATGGAAATAGATTGCCCAGTCTTCCTTCTGAGGAGTGGCTGCTGGGTTTGAATCTCCAGCCTTCTGGTTAGCAGTCAAATGCCTTAGGCACTGTGCCACCAGAGCTCGTAATTAAAATACCATCCTGTCTTTCCAACCCAGCTGAAAAAAAAAAGAAGCAAGAAAATTCAGTAGGACAGAAAGCAGCATAGAAGAGGAAGAGAAGAAGCCACCTCCCCCAAATAAGAAGGCAATTCTTAACAGAAAACAATATGGTCACAATAATTCCAAATATATCAGAAATTACAATAAACATAACCAAAGTAAACAATTAATAAAGACAAAGAGTATAATTTTTTTTTTTTTTAAAGAAACAAAATCCAACTATCCTCTTTAGCTACCTAAATCAGCATTATGTTGTTGCTGTGTGCCAATCGTGTCGGACCCAACTCATAGCGACCCCTCCTTGGGTTTCCGAGGCAGTATCACTATGCAAGTAGATTGCCCCATCTTCCTTCCGAGGAGTGGCTAGTGGGTTTGAACTGCCAGGCTTCTGGTTAGCAGTCAAGTGCCTTAGGCACTATGCTACCAATGGTAGATTACAGAGCAGTGTACTTAAGTAGATTAATTGTTCTACACAGTTATGAAAGATACATGTTGAAGTGAAATTTTTAAATGTGATTTTTGATTGTCATTTTGCTTTGTTCTCATGCTTAGCTGTTATTGGACCTCCTAGAATGCAAGTAGAAGTTCTTGCTGATTCTCTACATATGCGTTTCTTGGCCCCCGAAGTTGTGAGTGAACCTGAAACATGGACCATGAAGAACTTTTATACCTCATGGGCTTATAATGTGCAATATTGGAAAAATGGCACCAATGAAAAGGTAAGCTCAGTTGATCATATGCCTTTTAGATGAAGCTTCCCATGTTCTTTGCTGAGTTTTGGTGTAAGGCCATGATGATAGAGAGAGGAGGCAAGGAGGCCATTCCAGGCAGGATCTTTTAAGGTAGCAGCACTTTGTGGCCCATAGGATCTAAGGCCTGGTCCTCTGAAAACCAGAAGCTCCCCAGTCTGAGAGACGATCTGTGTCTCTGCTTCAGGCTTCTAAGACCCCTAAAGAAAATGGATAGAGCAGACTCCCAGGGTGCTAGTGTATAGTGAGAGCATGCCTTTTTCTCCCTGAAGGAAATTTGCAGTGAAAGCAGAAAAGAATCAGCACTTGGCAAAAGGAACTTAGAGCAGGAATCAGCTGAGTGACTACTGTTGCATGGCATCAACCCTGATGCCTCATGAACACCACAGGTCAGTTAAGTTTATGGTCAAAGAAGCCCTATATATAGACACTGGATAAACAATGTCACATTTTACCTTTTGGAGCCCAGTTTTCTCCACAGCTCTCCTACCGTACAGGGGACAGGATTTTTTTTCCAAATGTGATCTTGGAATCAAAAGATGTGGTTGAAATGCTGGTTCTGCCATCATGTGACACTGGTCACATTTCTGACCACCAGTTCCTCAGGTCTGCAGAAAGGGCATAATAACCTGCTTCATTAACAAAATGGGAATAACAGCCTACCTTAGAAATCATTTTTGGGAATTCAGTGGTATAATGAAAGAAAGAAACATGGCCCATTGCTCAAAACACTGTATATGATCAATATCTGAGGTTCCCTTCCTTTTCTGTAGCTATAATAAAGCTATTATCATTCATCTGTGATCCAATTTTATTCTTATACTTAGTGCTTCTGTGCCTAAAGCCATTCATGGTCCTAAACTGACTATGTATTATGTAACATATGTGTTCTCTTCCACATTAAATGTTGATTTTTTTTAATGTGGGGAGAGGAAGGAGTCACCCATTTTTGTTTTCTTAAGAATGATGTTATTAAATTTATATATACACATGTAGCCTAAAAAAAAGTGTCAATTTTTTTTTTTTTCAAAAATGCTCCATTAATGATGGATATATGGATTTTTTTCACAGAATAGAAGTTTTTGCTATAGTAAAACCCCAGGAAACACATGCCTGGAGCACACTCCAGAATAATTAGTTTTATAATCACATATCAAATGTCTCTACTAAGCCTCTAAGGAATGCAAAGGTAAGACAGGATTGCCTCTTCAGGGGGTTAGCAGTGTACTCCCACTGAAAGTCTGAATCCACAGTTACCATGCCTCAGTGCCTCTGGGACCAAACATGAAATGCAAAACCCATTTTGTTTATGTATTTATTTTATTGTAATTTAGGTGAAAGTTTTCAGAGCAAACTTGTTTTCCGTTCAAAGGTTCATACACATTTTGTTTCATGACATTAATTGCAATCCCCACAATGTAACAGCTCTTTTCCCACTTCCTCCCTGTGTTTACCATTTCCCTGTGTCTTTCTTTCCTTTGCATGTATAGCTTTCTCCCTGCACAAATGCTGCCCTTCTGGTCTCCCGTGGTTAATTGTTCTAAGGAGTGCACCTCCCTGCTGTGATCGTTCACCTTGTAAGCGTGTCTAACGTTTGTCTAGAAGTTAAGCCACAGGAGTGAGTTCAGTTCCAGGCCTGAAGTGTGACAAGGGGGCATAGTCTTGGTGGTTTCATTAGTCTCTATCAGACCAGTAAGCCTGGTCTTTTTTTATGATTTAGAGTTTTGTTCCACATTTTCCTCCCACTCTCTCCAGGATCTCCAATTTTGATCCCTTTCCAAGTGGTTGGCAGTAGGCAAAACCCATTTTATATTTAGCTTTTTGGTTTGGTTATCTAAATTCATCCACAATATAGGCATCTGGTCACACATTTGTTAGCCTAATTGTGTGGAAGTCTTGGTGTGACCTGCAGAGTGCTGGACAGGCCTCCTGCTCCACAGTTCCTCCTCACTGGTGCCTGCAATGTCACCAGTACTCATTTATGTGGCTCCCTTTTAGAATGCAAATATTCCTAAGAGAGCAAACACCATGTTAGATCTATAAACGAGGAGCATGGAAGGCTTTTGGAAATTCTGGTCCTTCCTAATGGGAGAAAGTGGTAAGATAAAACCAAAAGGTGCCCCGAGTGAAAGCAGGGTGAGAAAGGGGGCATGAGGCTATGCCTCTTCACTTCTTTGCTTTCTTCTCTGCTGGCCTCTGATTTAGTCTCTGAATAGCACCATAAGGTTTTGGAAATAGTGGATTTTAAGAACTGAAAGCTGGGGTTTGGCTGTGAAGGTGTTGTTACAGTTACTGTTTTTCATTTATTTATTGGAAATTATAACTTAATCTTCACATATTCCATATCAAACCAAAGCAGACTCACTGCCTTCAAGTTGGATCTGACTGACTCATAATGACCCCTCCTTGGGTTTCCAAGGCAGTATCACTACAGAAGGAGATTGCCCAACCTTCCTTCTGAGGAGTGGCTGGTGGTTTGAACCACCAGCCTTCTGGTTAGATATTCTTGTCCTCAACTTAGGTTCTCCTGTAGTAAAGGAATATAGACAAGATGTCAATACCAACCACAAAAGAAAAACAAGTACATAAAGTAAAAATAAACAATTTATGACCACTTTCTATTGAAGTTCTTATTCATTCATACAACACATTTTTTTAAATTGTGATTTGAGTGGAAGTTTACAGAGCAAATTCACTTTCCATACAGCAGTTCACACACACACGTCTCATGACATCGACTACAATTTACCCCAATGCAACAGCTCCCCTCCCACTTCCTCCCGATAGTTCCCTCTTCCCTGTGTCCATCCCTCCATGCACTCCTCCCCGTGAACTGTCTCCCTGTGCATGAACAGCCCCTCTTTCTCCCATGATTATTCTCTCCAAGGAGTGTATCTACCTCAGGTATATGTTCAACTCATATGCCTGTCTTTTGTTTGGCTGGAAGCCACAGGTGTGGGTTCAATTCCAGACCTGAAGGGTAGCTACAGACCATAGTCTCTGTGGTTCCACTAGGCTCTTATCAGACGAGCAGACCTGGTACCCCCCCTTTTTCTTCCCCAAATGATTTTGAGTTTTGTTCCACATTGTTCTCCCTCTCTATCCAGGATTTCCTCCATAGAGCCCCCTCTGAGCAGTTGACAGTGGTAGCCGGGCACCATCTAGTTCTTCTCGTTTCATAGTCATATAGGCTGAGTATTGCATGGTGTACCAATCAAGAGGACTAATTATTTCCATGACTCTTTGGTTTTCTTCATTCTTCTTTGCTCTGGACAAGGAGAGACCCATTGTTGCAGCTAGATGGCTGCTTGCAAGCTTTTAATATCCTAGTTGCTACTCACCAAAGTAGGAGGTGGAACAATGTTTTGTGTAGTATGTTATGCCAATTGAGCTTGATGTCCACTGCAACTATGGTCCCAAACTTGCAGGTTCAGCTTCTTGCTCCCTCTGGGTATCTGGCTGTAACCAAGAAGTGACTACAACCTTGTCCCTTGTCAGCTCTACAATATCCCTGGAAATTCTTACAGAACATACAAATACACTTGCAGAACCATTGTCTGCCAACGCTATACATGGTCTTGGATACACTCCTTGCTGCATAGACATACCTAATAGTTCAGCCTGCCCACCCATCTATCCACCCATATACCCGTTTGCTTCACTGACAGCATAGTACTGTATATGCAAAAGGGTTCATCTTTGTTGTCTGCACCTCCCGTGTACCTCTCTCTGTCTTCCTCTTCTTCAATTCCACCATGTTGATCACTCACATTTGGTACATTGCCCTTCTCTTCACCCAAATCAGTACTTATTGCTACCTATATAACAGTGTTCCCTACCCTCCCTTCCCAACCCTGGTAACCAACAAAGAAAATTTCCTTCCATATATAAACCGTTTCTTGACTTTTACAATAACAGACTAATACAGTATTTGTCCTTCTGTGATTGACTTATTTCACTCAGCATAATGTCCTCCAAGTTCATCCACGTTATGCAGTGTTTTGCAGATTCTAC